GGGAGCTGTGGATGGTGGGAAGAGAAGGGATGATGGGAGCTGTGGATGGTGGAGAGAGAAGGGATGATGGGAGCTGTGGATAGTGGGAAGTGAAGGGATGATGGGAGCTGTGGATGGTGGGGAGAGAAGGGATGATGGGAGCTGTGGATGGTGGGAAGAGAAGGAATGATGATATGCAAAGTGAGGAGTTGAGACATGAAGGGATCGGAGGGAGAGGGAAGAAATAGAACAAGGATGAAGGAGGAAGAGCAGTGGGAGCTAAGTGGGATGAGAATGGAGTTGGAAAAGAATGTCCATGAATGTGGAAGACGAAAGAGAGAAAGGGGGAAAGAGGAAGCACAGGTGCAGAAGTGAGAGAGAGCACACTTGGCTCAGCGAGAGAGGAATAAGGATGTGGAAGAGAGAGAAGGAAGAAGAAATGGTGGAAGAGAAGGAAAACCAGGAAAGCAAACAGCTTTTAATTTACGATGAGAAGACTTGAGAAAGGGGCAGCAATCCAAAAAAGAATGATTGCTTCTCCAAAACCATTTTTTTTTTTAGAAATTGCTCATAACAAAAAATGTACAGGATTAAATGGAGCCCTAATCCAGTAACTGGCCAATCACCAGACTCAGCATCACAGTTAAAATCAGCACACATAATTCTCGACAGGCAATCCTTTGCAAGCAACACATGTTTGCATGGAACGTAATTTGGGAATGACAACTTAACCCTCATTCTCTGTTTAGAAAAGACCCCACTGTTCTCATTCCACCAGCCCACCCTAATCACTCTCATTCATTACGATATGCTTAGGAGCTTGTTCGTAACTACAGCCTTCCCTGGCACTGTGCTCCGGGCCAACATATGCTTGGGACTTCTGCTGGTAGATTTGTGTAGGCCTCCCCACCTCGGACCCTCCCCTGCACCCCCCCCCACCAAACCCCACCCCCACACCACCACCCTGGGAGAAGAGCAAGGAACCGACAGAGTAACATGAGAGTGACAGTGGACAGCTGAGGCCACACAGAATACCGACAGAGCTTTACCTGCCCCTACATTCTGAGGGTATGCCATGTAGCCGCCTCTTCCACGGGCGCCCCTACCTGAGCCTCGCGCTGCCGCCGCCGCCGCTGCTACCGGGCCATAGGCCGCTGCTGGGAAGCCTGGATGGTGGAGGGAAGAAAACAAAAAAAAACAATAATGTGTAACTCTGTTTCGGTTAGAGCTAGATACCAGGCCGTAGACCACTGCTGGGAGGCCTGGATGGTGGAGGGAAGAAAACAAAAAAAAAACAATAATGTGTAACTCTGTTTCGGTTAGAACCAGATACTAGGCCGTAGACCACTGCTGGGAGGCCTGGATGGAGGAGGGAAGGAAGTGAGAAAAGGATGTGTGATGTGTGATGATCTTCAAGTCAGGATGGTGAGTGGCTTGGGGGGGATCTTGCAGGTGGTGGTGTTCCCATGTATCTGCTGCCCTTGTCCTTCTAGATGGAAGTGATTGTGGGTTTGGAAGCTGCCTTGGTGAGTTGTTGCAGGGTATTTTGTAGATGGTGGAGGAGTCAGGAATCAAATTACTCGCTGCAGAATTCTGAGCTCTGGCCTGTTCTTGTGTCTCTGTGGCTGATCCTAAGACAGGTGCTCCTGTACCTCAGAGGGGCAGACAACAATTGGATTCCTAATCCATTCTGAGACGAAAACCAAAAGGTAGTCCATCAATACTAATCATGTCCCTGTGTACAACTAGTTCTTTGGATTATTCCTCCGAGTTCACAAACAGGAGTGGGAGAGGTTGGGATGGAGGTGGTAAGGGGCCACCACTCCCATTCCAACTAGTTACTACGAGATAAGCCAGTTTAGCATAAACTGCTGCGAGGTTGGGGGAACAAAACATTGGCCGGTTTTCTGAAGCCTGACCTACACTCATGCGGACACACATGGGCAGTGGGCCTTAGCTATGAAGCCCGCCACAGCCAAATACCCCACACACATGAAGAACGGCACCTTAATTCAGGTGCTGAAGAGCAGATGGCACATTTGGAAACATATCCCACATAAGGGGGAAAGAGATAAAATAGGTCAAGATAACTGAAAAGGTGGAGCATTAGAGATGTACAGGAACAGAGGTAGGTTTTTGGCCTATTCCACTAGCCAATGAGATCGAAGCTAATCTTTACCTTTCTGTTAAACACGGAGTTCCTCTTGACTGTTTTCCTCCATCTGACAGAAAGGAATACTCAGGAAATCAGAGATCGGGGAGAGTATCCATGTCTATCAGCTCTCCCCCAGGAGAACAATCAACCCTAGGCCTACGCTGTCAATCAATCCAACACCAAGCAGTGTAAACGATTTAGGTGGAGCTGCTATCACATTGGGCAAATTGAAATCTCTTCCGATGCTCCAACTGAGCATGGGAGCGTGTGAAGGAACCATCTGGAGGATGGGCAAACTGCAATAAGTAAAAGCTCTCCAGGAGCTAAATTCTCCTGCAGTGTATTTTTACTGTCCATAACTCACAAGTGAAAAACAAACCTGTTTTGGGAAATTTTTAATTCACAGGAATGGAGACACAACTTGGGCAGCAATGGCTGGTTCAAAATTCACCCGGCACCTTGGAAATATCACCCCGGGTGAAACACGACAAGATTTATGGTTTCTGGGAATGTGGTATGTATTTTAACTTCAATATACCTTGGTGCCTATCATTTCCCTACCCATCCAGCCATACGCAATGCAGAGATAATCACATTACATAACAGCGCCGTTCGCAGCTCCTCACATACTGAACCAGTCCATGTTCAAATGCAACAAGATCTGGACAATATCTCGGCTTGGCCTGACAAATGGTAAGTAACATTTGCGCCACACAAATGCCAGGCTATGACCATCATCAATAAGAGGCAATCTAACCACTGCCCCTTGACATTCAATGGTGTTACCATCACAGAATCCCCCCACTGTCAACATCCTGGGGGTTACCAATGATTGGAAATTCAACTGGACTTGTCACATAATAACAGTGGCTTCAAAAGGAGGTCAGAGGCTAGGAATGCTGCAGCGAGTAATTCACCTCCTGACTCCTCAAAGCCTCCTCAAAACCATCTACAAGGCACAAGTCAGGAGTGTGATGGAATACTCCCCATTTGCCTGGATGGGTGCAGCCCCAACAACACTCAAGAAGCTTGACACTATCCAGAACAAAGCAGCCCGCTTGATTGGCACTGAATCCACAAACATCCATTCCCTCCACCACTCAGCAGCAGTGTGTACCATCTACAAGATGGACTGCAGAAATTCACCAAAGATCCTCAGGCAGTACCTTCCAAATCCACAACCACTTCCATCCAGAAGGACGAGGGCAGCAGATACACGGAACACCACCCCCTGCAAGTTCCCCTCTGGGCTCCTCACCATCCTGACTTGGAAATATAGAGTCATTGAGCTGTTCAGCACAGAAATAGACCCTTTGGTCCAACTCGTCCATGCTGACTAGATATCTTAAATTAATCTACTCCCATTTGCCAGCATTTGGCCTATATCCCTCAAAACCCTTCCTATTCATGTACACATCCAGATGCCTTTTAAGTGTTCTGATTGTACCAGCCTCCACCATTTCCTCTGGCAGCTCATTCCAGACACGCACCACCCTCTGTGTGGAATAGGTTGCCCCGTAGGTCCCTTTTAAATCTATACCCTCTAGTTTTGGACTCCCTTACCCTGGGGAAAAGACCTTGGCTATTCATCCTATTCATACCCCTCATGATTTTATAAATCTCTATAAGGTCACCCCTCAGCCTCTGATGCTCCAGGAAAATAGCCCCAGCCTATTCAGCCTCTACCTATAACTCAAACCCTCCAACCCCAGCAACATCCTTGTAAATCTTTTCTGTATCCTTTCAAGTTTCGCACCATTATTCCTATAGCAGGGAGACTGGAATTGAACGCAGTATTCCAAAAATCGCCATACCAATATTCTGTACAGCCACAACATTACATCCCAACTCCCAAACTCCATGCACTGACCAATAAAGGCAAGCGTTCCAAGTACCTTCTTCACTATCCTGTCTACCTGCGACTCCACTTTCAAGGAACTATGACCCTGCACTCCAAGGTCTCTTTGCTCAGCAACACTCCCCAGGACCTCACCATTAACCGTATACGTCCTGCCCTGGTTTGCCTTACCAAAATCAAACCCTCCACAATTATCTAAATTAAACTCCATCTGCCACTCCTCGGCCCATTTGATCAAGGTCCCGTTGTACTCTGAGGTAATCTTCTTCACTGTCCACTACATCTCCAATTTGGTGTCATCTGCAAACTTACTAAACATATCTCCTATATTCACATCCAAATCACTTAGATAAATGACGAAAATCAGCAGATCCAGCACCGATCCTTGTGGCACACTGCTGGTCATAAGCTTCCAGGCTGAAAAGCAACCCTCCACCACCACCCTCTGTCTCCTACCTTCAAGCCAATGTTGTATCCAATTGGCTAGCTCCCCCTGGATCCCACAAGATCTAACTTTGCTTGCCAGTCAACCATGCAGGACTGCAGTGGTTCAATCTTCAAGGTCCATCTTGTCCCCACCGACCAGATATCCTGATCTGATCCAGTCCCATTTGCCAGCATTTGGCCCAAATCCCTCTAAACTCTTCCTAATCATGTACCCATCCAGATACCTTCTCTGGCAGCTTGTTCCATACACGCATCACCCTCTGCCTAAAAAATTTGTCCCCTCAGATCCCTTTAAATCTTTTCCCTCTCACCTTAAACCTATACCCCTCTAGTTTTGGACTCTGCTACCCTGGGAAAAAGACCTAGGTTATTCCCCCTATTCATACCCCTCATGATTCTATAAACCTCTATAAGGTCACCCCTCAGCCACCAACACTCCAGGAAAAATAGCCCCAGTCTATTCAGCCTCTCCCTATAGCTCAAACCCTCCAACCCTTGTAAACCTTTTCTGAACCCTTTTGAGTTTAACAACACCCTTCCTATAGCAGGGTGACCAGAATGACTTTAAACAGAGCGGCCTAGATTTATCAGACATGTGCTTCTATGTAATGCACAAAATAGGGATTCTATAATGTGTGTTGAAAAACCAACACAATGTCAATTAAAGGCTCTAATTAACAGACACCAAGCACACTCCACTCCCTGCTGCCTGCAAACCAGTCACCTTTAAAGGCAGTGCTACACGCCCCCAAAATAAGGTTGGTTTTATGCTTTTATTTTAAACAGTTTCTTTTTAGATGGGGTGCTGGGGTGCTTCATTAATTAAGCACCTCTCACAACCAATATTGCCGTTCTTTCACTGTCACTGGGTCAAAATCCTGGAAACCATCCCCACCCAAGGGTCCATCTAGAGCACATGGACTACAGTGGTTCAAGGAGGCAGCTTATCACCACTTTCTCTAGGGTAACTAGGGACGGGCAATAAATGCTGGTCAGCCAACCATGCCTACATCCCATAACCAAATTAAAAACGAATTCTCATACACACCGGTACAAGTATCAACACATGTCATCCAGCTCAATATTTCATTCCTTTCTATCTTTTCCAGTTCCCATCATCCCTCTTCTGAATGAGAAACTCGTACCCAGTCAGAGTCAATGGTGCCAGTTAGTGAGGGGGTTGGGTACTGCAAGGACAAAAGAATACAAAGATAGTACTTGCTACAACAGTGCAGGGCATTAACAAGACTACACCTACAGTACTGAGTACAGTTTTGGTGACCTCACTGTCATGGAAGGTCATCCTTGTATTGGAATCAGCCTCCGAGAATGTTTATTGGCTAATCCCTGCGGTGAGAAGTTTGTTTTATGATGACAGGTTTGGCCTGTCTCATTGAAACGCAGATGAATAAGAGGTGATCTCATTAAAACTGAGAAGATTTTGATATCACTTGACAGGGTAGATGCTGATATCACTTGACATGGTAGGCACTGACTATAAGGCTATAAGAGATAGGAGTACAAGTAGGCCATTCAGCCCATCATGTCCACACCGAGCCTCAGAACAGCATTCCACCATCTCCTCTAAACTTCCACCTTTTACCTTAGACCTATGTCCCCTGACATTTCCACCCTGGGAAAAAGACTCTGACTACCCACTCTAACCATGTCTCTGATAACTTTGCAAACTTCTGTCAGGTCACTCC